TATCGTTATATATCGATATAAATATGATAAAAATGTGCCGGATTACAAGATCTCAGATTTTAAACTGCGATTACGTAGTTATGGAAGTCTGGGAATCGGGAATAATTAGTATTTTAACATTGGTTATGTTTTTTTTTTTTTAAGCATATCTTAATAACGCTTAGCTAATTTAAATATTTAAAGCTTTTTTGAATCATATTGATTTATAAATTTCGAAAATGACTTCGTTCAAATTTAAGAATATTATTAAAAAAAAATAAATAAATAAGAAATTGTTATTGTTAGGTTAACAAAACAATAGATCTAATATAATAATAGATATTATACTAGAAATTAGTTTCAAAGGGGATTTTTGAAATGCTATTTTGGTGGTAAATCGTAAAAAATGAGAATTTGAATAAATTTGTAGTTTTCTGTGCGATGGGTATTACAGTAAATTGAAAAGCACAGTAATAAAAAAAAACCAATTATTCATAAATAGAATCGAGCAAATTATTTTATGTTTGGATTCCAAAATTAGTATAAATTGCATTAACGGTACTTATTAAATTGAATAATTTAGAATTATTTTGATTTAAAATTGACTCGAAATTAATTGATAATTTTTGGTTTGAATGTGGGTGTTCTTAAAATTACACAAGGCAATTGAAGTTTTTATAGCCTAAATAAATTAATCTTTCTACATAAGTAAGCAAGAGGCATTAAAGATTTAATTAATATCATTGTTATAACGACCTTTAGCGGTTTTGATGAATCTTGAAAAACTTTAATACGGAAATCATAATATTCTTAACAGATTTGCTTTCAAATGCATTACAAGATAAGATGGATGTTCTTGCAGCTCAGTCGTTTTTTAAAAAATTTACAGTATAGAGATTTACGAATAAGAATTCAATCTCATTTATTTATTTATTTATTTTTTCGTTGATTGATAATGATTAATTTTAATTTTAAATCCATTTGATAGGTGGAGTCGAAATCCACAAAATTCGATCTCGCCGTACAGCAGTTATACATAATGTATAAAACCTGATTCATGTAAATAAATACCATTATTTACCTAGATATGAAAGTGATGCACTCATAAATATTATAAAATCACATAAAAAATTAGAAAAAATAGAACTTGACAGTTATAGCATAAGTAGGTAGGTGTATTGTTATGTACAAGATTCCGAATCCTGCTGAAGAAACATTTTATATTAAAATATTTCCGGCATTAAAATATATCGGGGATTCCTTAAAAGAGCTTATATTGCATTATACGGGTTTTTCAAAAATTTCACCAGACAACATAAAAAATATTTCTAAATGCCAGAACATGATTAGATTTCATTGCAATAATTGCCAAAAAATGACGTTAAACCATTGCGCTTCACTATCTAATAACAGGTTGAATTTAAAAAAATTAGAAATTATAGATTCAAGATTCGATCAAATTGTTATGAACACTTTAATCTATATGTGGGGATCAACTATAACAAATATTTTGAAGAATGATTTTAATGCTATTCCAACTATAACAAATATTTCAAAGAACGATTTTAATGCTATTCTTTATTATAAACTTATATTTATTTTATCAACGTTCTTTCGTTTTCATTATTTTAGGTTACATAAATTTATCACATAATCTTACAGTCAAAATTTTTTTAGATAGCAATTTTACCCAGATCGTTAAATATACCATTTTCCGAGTTCTCTGGGCCTCAGGGCTGGTAATTAAATTTACAATCAGATATCAAAATTATTTTTGGTGTTAAGAGCAAAAGTACATTCGTTTATCAATGATCCCTAAATTAAGCTTTTCAAGTTTTATGCACATTATCTAAATATTGATTATAAAGACTATTAGTTCCTTAATGTCATTTGGTACAGTATATGAACTTACTATCGCATAATATTTGTTAATGTTGTTTTATCTTTCAAATTTGGAAAAAATTTTATCTAAAAAAATATAGAAAATTACTACATATCACCAATGGTGATCATAACCTAAGAATTTTTAGGTTAGGGTGCAATTAGGGATTTTTTATTTTATATATAATATAATGAATATTAGATATAAGGTTCCTATTTTAGTTTTCGTGAGGTTTTTAGGGGTCCTGAACATTTTTACTTAGAATACTCATTCCGTTTACTTAGTACATTTTTGAGATATAGCACACCAGTGATGATCATCAGTGGTGGTAAATAGCAAACTTCAAAAAGGCAATGGAAACAAGTATAAGTGTGTTTTAGGAAATTAAATATTGTAGAAGCTGTAACTGTTAAATACCAATTTGCTCCCTCCATTAAATATATTATCATGCGATTCTTCGATATTTTCAGGCGAATTTGGATTCGTTAAACTCAAATAAAATGGTTTTATTGTATTGCCATTCCTTAAAATTTGAAAGTTTTTCGATCTTTTTAGATAACTCATTCCAACATTTTTTCTTCATCAAATTAATACTACGACACTTCTTTGTTAACAGGTGACCGCAAGTCCAACAATTTTATCATCTCATATGTATATGAATGTTGTGCGCTAAATCAAAATTTTATTATTGGGTTTTATTAGGATTAGTGTGAATCCTATGTTAGGGGAGGGCATTATAGCTATTTTGATCTTTCAGATACATAAGTAAACAGGGGGAACCGTCGATGATGCATGAGTCCTTCACCAGGTGTGCAACATATAAAAAAATTATTTACATTACCAGATCATTCGCTAATACATGTTATGATTATAATTCAACACCATTTATTATAATAAAAATGGTGTTGGATTATAATCATAACATGTACTAGCGGGATGATCTGGTATTGTAAATTAATTTTTTTATATATTGCACACCGGGTGAAGGATCTGTCGTGTAACATCGACGGTTTCCTCCTGTTGCATAAGGTATTGCGTACTGTACGTACGGAGCAGGAAATCCAAATACCTCAATCACTTTATATAAGGTTAGCTTATTGTCTTTATACAAAGAGATCCCCTTCGCGGAAATTTATTTCCGATGTGCTACTAGTTTATGCATCATCTCTACATAGAATATTGAGGTTTTTAAATTTCCTTCACCGTACATACGTTTATACTGTATATTCAGATATTTCTTACCTACCATGAAAGAAATACCGAACGAGTGTATTTACGCAATTCTTATTAATCTCGCAAATGATAGTAAAAGTTTATACTCTTGTTGCCTTGTTAATCGTCTTTGGTGTCTAAACGCAACACCAATATTATGGGGCAATCCGTTAGAAAGAAAGGTTTCCAAATCACTTGTGCGAACATACCTTTCAACATTGTCTCCTGAAGAAAAGAAACCGTTAATATCATTTGGTCTAGCACTTTCTAACCTTCCAAAACCATTATTTGAATATGGGACTTTCTTAAAGGTTCTTAACACTAGTTTAATGAGAAATGGAATTATAACATGGCTTGAACAAGAAGGTTTTATTGAACATTATAATGATCAAAAAAAGTTAGAATTAGCATATAGTATTATAATGGCATCTTTAAATAGAATGTTTCTTCGCAGAATTGAAAATCTTGAAGAATTATTAATCAATGATGAATTTAAATTTCTGAATGTACCGACATTCTTGAACGCTATGACAGGAATAATGCAATTAAAAACACTACATATTAATCTTAATAGCTATAAAAATTCCAATAATGGAATTACAGTAATAAATGCATTAACGCCTAAAATGTGTCCCTATCTTAAACATCTCAATCAATGATGAATTTAAATTTCTGAATGTACCGACATTCTTGAACGCTATGACAGGAATAATGCAATTAAAAACAC